TGATAAGGAGCTCCTTCCCTTCCCCCACCCCCCGACCACAGCTTGGATCTGTTAATTTAGCTTTGGGTTTATTTATTTGTTTTTCTTTCATTTGTTTCTTTGCTTACTTTCTCCGTTTTCTCGTTTGGGTACACGTACCTTTTCACAACAAATCGTCCCATGATTTGCGTGGATAAACATCGAAGTTGAGGAAATATTAAATCGTTCCATTGAAAGATTATTGTCTTTACAGTCAAGAAATTAGCAAACAATATACTGGAGAACTTTTCTTATTAACAGCTTTGCACTAAATATAGTGAATGTAAGTAACGTCCCACCACAGATCGACATTGCCGCCATATCACGAAACTCTTTTGACACTTATCTCCCATATCAAGTTGCATGTCAAGATCCTATTTTCGTTTCATTCAAAAGTATAACGATTAAGATTCAATTTCTGAAAAAAAGTTTTTGTATCATCTTAAATTTCAAGCGCTCTGCTTTGTCAAATCATAAATAAATGGGAGCCTATTTTTGCCGAGCTGTGCCGAATGTGACAATCGTATCTTAAGAGTTCGGAATATTTTATAAATACAAAGGCAAACGGAGATATAAGCATTTAAAAGATAAATATTTGCTTTACGTAAAGTAGGATAGACATAAAGTATCGATTGGGTGTTTAGCCATTACCCTCTGGAACCCCTCCCCTTCCCCCACCCGATACAACTGTGTCCTGTGAAAATGACCTTAAGATCTGAGTGTTATAAATAGACCAAGCTCAGAAATAATACGGGTTCAGTTTGTGTTTCGCAAAAGATTAAACAGTCATTATAATTACGCTCTCTTCGGCATTTTTATTGACAGATATCGGTCAATTAGAATACCAATCAAAATAACACGTATTATTTTTCATAGTAATGTGATTATTACCCGACCGTGACCAGCCTTGTTGTAACAACATTTATTGTCCTGGTTGATTCCATCGTTGTATGAGCCACCCCCACCCCTACAGGAATCATAATTACCATGTCCACTGCTTCCCCCAGAGTACCCTCCTCCTCCTCCTCCTCCTAACTCTCCATCAGCCCCACCGCCTCCACCAAACCCACCATCGATATCGTAACACCTGGCTCTTCCACCCACCCCTCCCTGAAGAAATCCCTTACCACCTTCTCCACCCTCTCCCATGGTTCCATTAAAGTTCCTTCCACTTCTTCCACTGGAGAAAAACCCGCCACCGCCACCACCTGAAAGAACGAAATGATGATTCAGGTCTTAGTGAGCAAAAAACACTTAGTTATATAATTAAAATGCCCTAATGTGCCCATATCAACATAGTCAAACTTTACATAATGTATGTCTATTAAGCCGCGATCTGTCAGGTTTAATATTTCTGTATAGCTTTTTTATCCTCGGATGTATGAACGGGTCCTCCTTCTAGGTGGTCTGACTGATTTTTTTCACGTTACCTAAACTTAGATTGTGGGATTAGGGCCAATGATTTACATCTGAAGTATACATAAACACATTTATCAATGAAGAGCTGGGGTGTAAGGGATCATCATAGTATGCTCCCACCTGAGTTACCATCATCGTCAGCAGTCTGCGCACCATGTCCATTGTTCCCCCCTGACCAGGAATCGTACCCAGGATTCGCTGTTGCGTTTGTGCTGGCGTCACATCCTTCATGCCTTGAGTTTACAGAGTCTATCCCTCCTCCGCCTCCAGCTATTATCAAAGGTATGTTGGCTCCTCTAACTACGAATGTACCTCCGCCACCTCCAGAGGATTCGTTCTTCTTGTTTATTCCTCCTTCTTGACCTACAAGTATCCGGATGACTTCGCTCTTGTTTAGGCGGAATGTTCCAATCATTCTTGCTCCTCTACCTCGGTACTGAGAGCTTTTAGGATGTACATCGTATCCTCCTGCTGCTCCAATTGCTTTTATTCTGTAGTCACCAGTGTACGGTACGGTCCATCGTTGAATACCGCTGGACAGTGTGACTTGTCCGTCATGGTCCTGACCTGAGTACTGACTGCCTAGAGTTGTTGGACCATACATTCCAGTGGCATCGAGATTTGTAAAAGTGGCTATGAATGCTAGGG